CAAAATCACCCCAAAAAACGGGGGAAAACGGGCAAAAATGGGCGAAATGAACACGAAAACAGGCAAAAACGGGCCAAAAACACCTGGGAACGGACAAAATCACCCCAAAAACCAGGGGAAAACGGGCAAAAATGGGCGAAATGAACATTAAAATGGGCAAAAACCACCCGGGAACGGACAAAATCACCCCAAAAAACGGGAGAAAAAGGGCAAAAATGGGCGAAATGAACGCGACAATGGGAAAAAAAACACCCGGGAACGGCCAAAATCACCCCAAAAAACAGTCAGAAACAGGCAAAAAACGGGCAAAACGGGCAAAAACGGGCGAAATGAACGCAAAAATGGGCAAAAAACACCCGGGAACGGCCAAAATCACCCCAAAAAACGGGAGAAAAAGGGCAAAAATGGGCGAAATGAACATTAAAATGGGCAAAAACGGGCAAAAAACACCCAGGAACGGACAAAATCACCCCAAAAAACAGCCAGAAACGTGGAAAAACGGGCAAAAACGGGTGAAATAAACACAAAAACGGACAAAAACGGACAAAATAAACCCCAAAACAGCCAAAACCACCCCAAAGCACCCCAAAATAGGCAAAATAAACCCAAAACAAAGCAAAACCCAGCCAAAACCAGGCAAATATCACCAAAATAAACCCAAAAACAGCCAAAATCACACAAAATAAACCCAAAACCAAGCAAAACCCAGCCAAAATCAGGCAAATATCACCAAAATAAACCCAAAACCAGGCAAAACAAACCTAAAATATTTTGGGCAGTTTTGGGTCCATTTTTGGGGCTATTTGGGGATATTTTGGGGATAATTAGGGATATTTTGGGGATATTTTGGGGATAACTCAGGGATATTTCAGGGATATTTTGGGGATAATTCGGGCTATTTTGGGGATAACTCAGGGCTATTTTGGGGATAATTAGGGATATTTTGGGGATATTTTGGGGCTATTTTGGGGATATTTCAGGGACATTTGGGTCCATTTTGGGTCTGTTTTTAGGATATATCAGGGATAACTCAGGGATATTTTGGGGATAATTCGGGCCATTTTGGGGATGACTCAGGGCTATTTTGGGGATATTTTGGGGATATTTTGGGGACAATTCAGGGATATTTCAGGGATATTTTGGGGATAATTCGGGCTATTTTGGGGATATTTCAGGAATATTTTGGGGATATTTCAGGAATATTTCAGGAATATTTTGGGGATATTTCGGGGCTATTTTGGGGATGACTCAGGGCTATTTTGGGAATATTTTGGGGATATTTTGGGGACAATTCAGGGATATTTTGGGGATAATTCGGGCTATTTTGGGGATGACTCAGGGATAATTCGGGCTATTTTGGGGATAACTCAGGGATATTTTGGGGATAACTCAGGGATATTTTGGGGACAATTCAGGGATATTTCAGGGATATTTTGGGGATAACTCAGGGATAATTCGGGCTATTTTGGGATAACTCAGTGCTATTTTGGGGGTATTTCAGGGATATTTTGGGGATAACTCAGGGATATTTTGGGAATATTTTGGGGCTATTTTGGGGATATTTCAGGGATATTTTGGGGATATTTCGGGGCTATTTCGGGGATGACTCAGGGCTATTTTGGGGATATTTTGGGGATATTTTGGGGATAACTCAGGGATATTTTGGGGATATTTTGGGAATATTTTGGGGATATTTTGGGGATATTTCAGGGCTATTTTGGGGATATTTTGGGGATATTTTGGGGATGACTCAGGGCTATTTTGGGGATAATTCGGGCCATTTTGGGTGCGTTTGGGGCCCTTTGAGGCGCTCACCTCATGACCTCGATGTAGCCCTTGGCGGCCGCCACGTGCAGCGCGCTGGCGCCGGCGCCCGCCAGGGGCCGGTCCCGGGCACGGCCCGAGGCCAGCCAGAGGCGCGTGTCCCGCAGCAGCCGCTGCTCCTCGGC